GTTGGCGCATGTGCTCATGTGCACAAACATACAGACAAGAGGAAGTTGTCAGGTGTCCTGTTCATCACAGTTTTCTTTATTCACTTGAGAGAAGGACTCTCACTCAATCTAGAGGTAGGCTTGTGTCCAACAAGTACCATCAATTCCTGTCTTCATTCTCCCCATTTCCCTGCCAGCACTGGGTTTGCAGGTGTACCAGTAACCGCTCCTGGCTAATTTTTTTGTGGGGTTTAAACTCAGGTCCTAATGTCTGTCCATACACTGTTCATGCAAATTTGACGTTCTTTTTTGTCCCCTGGTCTTACTGATCTTGAATTTCTGGGGATTCTTCTGTTTTAGCCCTCCCAAGTTGTGTGTGGATGGCGACTGGATTGTTTCAGGGCCTGATGAGGGGCAGTTCTGTATTTTGGAAAACACAGTCAAAGGAGAGTCAATGCCACCAATGAAGATAGTGAGAAAACTGAGCAGCATGCCTGAAATGTGCATTTGGGTCTCTAAGTTAGCAGTATCCATAGATTACTTGCTTTTATGGTGATGTCAAGCACCTCAGACCACTTACAAGTCCAGATATGATGCTGAAGTCCCATGGGGGTGACCCTTTCAGCTGTTCAGGACTTAGGAGTCACTGTTCAGGTGCTCCGGGATTTGGAGTCCTGGGGGAAGGCTTATCGAATGTTTTCACGGTCAGCGTTGGTTGTTTCCACAGAGCCTGCTCACTTTGCCATGGTGCGTCCTATGACTGTTTTTCATTTCTTGAATTTACTGAGATAAACTCCTTTCTTCATCTCTCCTGGAAAAGTCCCATATACAGGAGTTTTCTTGTTTTTGCGTGCTTCTTTCTGTTGCTATTGCTTTGGTAAGCTTGGGCTTTACAATGTAAGATGACTTAGATGTACTGGTTCTTAAATTATTTGCTTTCTCTACTCCTCCACCTGACTCCTGCTCTCAGGAGGGGAAGAACATCTTTTCCATGTTTAGACAAAGACAAACATATTTTGCATTCTTTAGCATCTTGAGGACCGTCTTCATGGTGGACGCTCTCCCCATAATATTCTGAAGAATCCTTGGGCTCCCTCACAGGCACCTGTGTCCTGCTAAAGGCCTTCCCTCCCCTTCTCTCCCCTCCCTCCCCTCCCCTCCCCTCCCTTCCTCTCCTTCTTCCTCCCCTCTCCTTCCTCCCCTTTCCTCCTTTCCCTCTCCTCCCTCCCCTCTCCTCCCTCTCCTCTCCTACTCCCTCCTCTCATCTCCTTCCTTCTCTCTTTCCCTCTTCTCCTCCTTCCTCTTCTTCTCTCCTACTTTCTCCCCTCCCCTCCCCAGCCCTCCCAAAACACCCCACCCCCACACCCTCTCCTTTTCTCTTCTGGGTCATTCACTGTGTGGCAACACAAGAGAAGGTGATGAAAACATAGTAAGGATCTGAGGAGTAGGTGGAGATCGGCAGTAGAGAGCCGTGGGTCACAGCCATGGGGAATGTGCCAGTGTCCCAGGACTTGGCATTTGCTCCCTTGTTATTCTGATATCTCCGAGCTGTGTGCCTAATGGCAGGCACTTAGCCTTATACGTTAAAAAGAAGGTCTAAAAAGAAGGTCTTTGCCGAGGGCAGCATGCGGTGTGGAAGATGAGCAGGTGTGTGTCCCAGTGGACCAGCAGGGCTCTCTGATGAAGCATTCTGCACAGGTGAGGTCTTCCCTGGCTCAAGTGAACCGCTAAGCGAACCTGGGAATAAGCATTGCAAACCAAAGAAACTGTTTTAAGGACGGCAAGTGTTAATTTCCAGCCTTCACTCTGTGTGCCCTGGAGACCTGAGGTTCCAGCCTGTGAAGAGTGTTTCTGATCCGAAAACTAAAGGTTCACCCCAGACAGGGCTTTGCCGGCCTGAATGATGCTAATCCAAGTGAGTGTCAGGGTCTGGTAATTCCTGCAGGTAGTTGTGTTGTCGTGTGAAGGCCTCTTCAGCTTGCTTGTGAGCTAGCTTACTAACAGCCAGGACATGCCTTTTGAGCACTTCACCTGGAAGGAGAGTTCAGCCTCCCATAATGTTGAACACTTCTGTCTGAAGCCCTGCTAGACAGTCAGTTGGCAGAGAGGATTCAGGAATTTTTAAAGAGGAAACAGTGTGGTCAGACACTCTTGAGCTGTCCTGGGATATCACTGTTACCAGAGACAGGATGGTTTAGGGTACGGGAAAGGTGGCCTGTGGTTCAGATTTATTGCCATGCATTTTCTGAACAGTTCAGTAAAGCAAAACCCCAAGCTTCAAGGTTTCTTCTGGAGTTAATGCTAACAGCGTGTGCCTTTGCTGCCTGCTCAGCTCCTGTCTGTGGGTCACACACTCCGGTTCAGAGACTGGGGTGCATAATAAGATTATAAAACATGTCTCTCGCTTGCCGGCCACCACATGCTAATAATAATAGCAGACATAATTCACTGGAATCTTGGATTTTTTTTAGGTTTTGCTTGGTTTATTTGTTTAATATAAAGGAACAAAAATAAAATCTCAAAGAAACAAGTTAGCATTTTGTAACACACACTCTCTCTCTCTCTCTCTCTCTCTCTCTCTCTCTCTCTCTGTAACTAATATCGCCCGTGTACATAACTGAACAGTTCCTCTGTTTGCCACTGTGATTGTCTTTTACCCAAAGGAGAGGGAAGGGCCCTAAGGGTAGTAGATTAGTTTGAAACAGGTTCCCCAACCTTGGCACTGTTGTGGTGTTGGGGTGGATGCTTGGTTGTCAGGGGACTGCCCTGGGCCCTGGGGGAGGATAGCGTGTCACTGGCCTTTATCTCCAGATGCCTGAGGCAGCTGTCTTTGCTTCCAGGTGTGACAACTGAACATGTCTCCAGATACCAAATCTTCCCATAGGGACAAGGTTGTCCCCAAATGAAAACTATTGGTTTAAGAGCAAATACATTTCAAAGGCTTCATTATGCACCCATCTTGCCTAAGGCCAGAGTTGCAGGGTTGTGTTGTCTGTCATCAGTCTGTCTTGTCTGTCTAAAATTAGAAGGGAGCATCTTCTAGGGTGAATATCAACTCCGTTTAAGAGGGCTCTGTGTTCTTAGAGACCCAAATCCTTCCTCCTGCGCAGGTTTGCGAGTAGATGGTTATTCAGGTCTTAAGTTTTCTTTCTGAGTTTAGCCTCTGATGGCTGAGCTACCTCTTCAGCCCTGACACATTTTTCTCTGAGTTGGATGTAGCTGAAGTGATCGATGACCTTGGTAAACTCACATTTTAATAACCTTAAGTGGAGTTTGGCCTTTTTTAAATATTTATTTATTATGCATACAATATTCTGTCGGTGTGTATGTCTGCAGAAGAGGGCACCAGACTTCATTACAGATGGTTGTGAGCCACCATGTGGTTGCGGGGAATTGAACTCAGAACCTTTGGAAGAGCAGGCAATGCTCTTAACCACTGAGCCATCTCTCCAACCCCCGGAGTTTGGCCTTTTGTATCCTTCTTTTCCCCCACTTCTTATTTTGCTGGAAGTTTTCTGTTGTGATCTCAAGGAGACATTAGGGAAACTGAGTAATCGAATACAAATAGCTCAATTCCAAGTTCACAGTTTCTGATGCTTTCTGAAAGATAAAGAATTAAATGGGGGACAATAAACATGTATGTTCTGAAGCGGTACTTATTTTCCCATGAGCCGTGTGAAAGGATGCCATTTGTCTGCATCTGGGCAGGGTGCATGCTGGGATGACAGCTGTTCGCCAGTCTGCTTATCAGACTTGACTTTTTGAACTTTTTTTTAATACATGAGTTCTTGTTCTTCTCTGGTGTATGGTTGGCTACATATTGGTAATTTTTAGAGTCTTGGTGACACGTTAGAATTACCTAGGGAGCTTTGGAAAGACCCTGGGTCCAGGTCAAACCCCAAACCAGTTGAATTAGGTTTTCAAGGGGTGGAACCAAGGTCCTTCTTTTACTTCAGTAAGAGACAAGATTGAGAACTTGTCCACATATTTATAAATAAAGTTTTATTGGGACACAGTCATGCCCATTCATTTGCTCTTGCCAAGAGATACCTTGACAAACCCTCAGTAGTTACTCTTTGGTCATTTATAGTAAAATACTTGCGGAATGTTGCTCTGAAGTCATGGTGAATATTATATTTCAGGGTTTGTGTGTACTTCCACAGCTAAGGAAGAATGCAGCATTTTGTAAAGTTTGGTGATTCAAGTCCTATCACTTTGTATAAAGGAGATATCGAAAACCATTTTCCTTGAAGAACTGACTTTTAGATTTTGTCAGACCCAAGGGAGATGTGTCTAACTTAGCACCCAGAGTCCATGGACATCTGTGCTTAAAGTTGGCCCCTGACTGTTAGTCCAGGGATTGATTTTTCTGACTGTGTAACTGGCTCCTGGGAAGCCTGAAGCATTCATGCTGGAGTTCTACTGAAGCACTTACAGACTCCATAGTAATAATAATAATAATAATAATAATAATCCATAACCCGCTCCCAATCTTAGACGGGCTGAAGATACCGCTCGGTGGGTTAAATGTTTACCATGAAAGTGTTAGGTTCAGAGTTCAGATGCCCACATCTACACAAATACGGGGCAGTCCTGGGCATCCACTTAGAATCATCAAGAGATGGAGGTGAGGTCCCTGGAGCGGCTGGCCAGTTTGAGTAGCTGAACTGATGAGCTCTGGGTTTAAGTGAAAGACCCTTACCTCCATATATAAGGTGCAGAGTTTCTGTACTGTGCTGACTTCGCGGTACGGAGTGTGTGACCGAGCAAAGCAGCTTCCCTTGTGGGGCACAGGAAGAAAAGACAGGCACTAGAAGGGTCAGACATAAGCTGTCCTCTAGAGTCTGCCTGTTCCCACCACTGAAGGCCTACTGCCTCCAGTTAGGTCCCATCTCCTCATGGTCCCAGAATTTCTCAAGTCAGTACCATGCATTGGGGATCAGGCCTTGGGCATGGGCTCCTGTGGGGAGCATTACATATTCAAGCCATAACAAAGGTGTCCTGTAATTTTTCTTCCGCAGATGAAGAGCGCGGAGAGCCGTCACCCGGTGAGCTCCCAGTACCGGATGCACTCATACTATGGGCCTCCCTCCTACCTGGGCCAGAGCGTGTCCCAGATCTTCGCCTTTGAGGACGGCCCCTCCTACTCAGAAGCCAAAGCAAGTGGTAGGTTCTGTGGTGGGTATCTTGAGCTGAGTCGATACCCAGCAGGGGAGTCGTCATTCTCTGTGGGCGTGTTTCATAGGAACTTTGGGGATTTTTAAATTATTATTCTTTAAGAATATCACAAGCTCTCCCCAGATCTCCCACCTTCTTTTCCATCCAACTTCTTCCTCCCTCTCCTTCTCTCTCTCCCGCCCTCCTCTCACTCATGGAGTCTAGTTTGTGTTAGAACCTGCCCTGGAGTGTGGTTGGTAACCCAGGCATCACATCTATGAAGACATCTGATTTTCCTTCTTCAAGCAGCAATCAGATACCAATAGCTTCTTAGCTAGGGTGGGGCTTTTACCCACTTCTCCCCACCCCTGCTTCCTCCATACTGTGGTTTTGCTGGCTTGAACTTTCACAGGTCTTGTTCATGCTGTCACAGTTGCTGTGTGTTCATATGTAGAATTGCCCTGTTATATCTGGAAAGTAGTGTTTCCTCAAGTCACCCTCCACTCCATATAGACCCCTGAGCCTTGGGGAGAAGGGATGTAATATAGATGGCCCCTGTAGGGTTGAGCACTCTAATAAACTCTCTTAATCTCTGCATGGTGGCCAGTCATGGGCCTCTGTCGCAATTACCATCTAATACAAAAAGAAGCTTCTCTGATGTGGGTTGAGAGAAGCATTGATTTACAATATATTGATTTACATTATAGGAATTGTTTTAATACTGTGTTATCCATTTAATAAAGTAATAGCAGGTTTTCCTCTAGGGCCCATAATAGATCTCGCCATAAGTTCTTAGTCTTGTTGACAGTGTCAAGTACGGGTCCTAAATCCAATCAGAAAGTGATTGGTTACTTCCTTAACACTTGTACCACTATTGCACTAATTGGGACTGCCTTACCAGGCAGGTTGTTATTGCAGCTCCCAGGGTCTGCAGTCGGATGAGATTGGTGATTGCTCTTCTCCAGGTGAACATTCTGTAAAGAATTCAACTATGAATTGGTTTTACTTTATTCTTTTCTATAGATGCATTTTTTTCTTTTAAAGTCTTTTTCTTTGTTCACTTTTCAGATTGTATTTTAATTATAACATTTCCCCTTCCACCCCCCAACCCCTCCCACATCCTCCCCGCTCTCCTTCAGATTCCTGACTTCTGCTCCATCAGTTGTACCACATGCATTTATGTATTTGTACAGGGGAAATGGAGGGAGCCTTACAGACGGGGGAGGGAGGTAAGATAACAACATGGATGACCGAGAAAAACCACATGGAATCATACTATAAACTATAACCTTTAATTCATTGTGTAAATAGATAGTTACCTTCAATGAACTTTTCCATCCGGGCTGATGGCACTTCTCCTCGAGCCACAGACCACCTAAGAAAAGTCCCAATATCAGCTATGAAAAGCCTCTTTTGAGGTGCTTGCTCTTGATACATTTCCCCCTTTCAGAATTCTTGTCATAATAGTAGACTTCTGTCCCTACAAATGTTACTTTATTTTTTATTAAGAAAAAATCGTGTGTGTGTGTGTGTGTGTGTGTGTGTTTTGCCTGCATGTATGTATATGTCCCACATGTGTGCCTGTTGCCTGAAAGCAAGAAGAGGGCACTGGATACCCTGGAACCGGAGTTGTGGATGGTTGTGAGCTAGCATATAGATTCTGCAAGTCAAACCTGGGTCCTCTGGAAGAGCAGGCAGTGCTTTTAACTGATAAGACATCTCTCCAGTCTCCAGATGTTGTGTCCTTGAGGAACAGTGTGACATACAAGGCTCATTTTTTTCCATTGCTAGGGATCAAACCCCAGGGATTGTTGTTGATGCTGAGCAAGGGCTTTGGGAAGATAACCCAGGGCCCAGAGACACTTCAGATGTGTTTCAAGTCTACATAATTTTTATGAAGCAAAGTTCTGTGTATGAAATTGATGTTTCACAAAGAGTCTTGCTTTAAAAATCAAAGTGCATTCATCTTTTGAGGGAAAAATAAAATAACACAGTAAAACATTTTTTAATACAGTAGATCTGGGCTTCTGCAGTAGCAATGCAAATAATTCTGATCCGGCTGAAATAAAAAATGACTGTTTAATGAGTTGATGCTCTTTGAGATACACAATTCCTCAACTTCAGTTCTAACCTCCCCAGCAGTTACGCTGGGTTGATGAGCAGCTCTTTCCTGGCTGCTTCCAGAGCCTGTTTTTTAAGTTATTTGTACGTAAGCATCATCTTTTGGTTTAGGAAAACTAGAAGCAAACAGTAGAGCCAAGAATTGGCAATCAGGGCAGTCCTGAGTGACATGGAAGAGATTGATCTAGATTCAATTGTGATTACCTTGTACTAAATGGAAGGAGATGTTAATTTCCTAAATAACATGACTATAGAGGAGAATTTTAGAATTGTATTTATTATATGTTTGTTGCACAAGGTAGGGGGAAGGCCACAGTGTGGGTGTGAAGGTCAGAGGACTCTGTAGAGTTGGGCCTCTTCTTTGGTCTTTACATGGCTCCCAGGGTTGGAGCTCAGCTCAGCAATCTAGTGTCAGTGTAAAGCGCCTTCACCGACTGAACCACCTTCCAGGCCAAGAATTTCTTCTCAATGCAGATGCTTCAGAAAATGAGAACCAGAACTGTGACCTTATTTTCACATTTGGAATTAAATCTTTAAAAGCTGGGCATGAGCCCCTGTCGAAAAGAAACAAAAACGAAAAGAAAGCTGGGCAAAAAGCTGCTTTCTTTACTCTCCTAAACTACAGTAGTGCCCATGGATGCAGGACATTTAGATGATGGAAGCTGGGCGGTCTGCTGTGAGGGGATTGAAGTGTACAACGGTGGCTGCACTTTCATTTTTGTTAATTCTGGATCTCCATGTTTAGAGTAGACTGCTCTCCCTGTTTCATAAATATCCATGTTCTCTGCGGGCGCTGCCTTCAGGATTTACATATAACCTGGCCAGTGTGCTCCCTAAGAAGAGAGAGCACACGGCCTACATGCCTTGCCAGTCTGTTCTCACAGCCTCTGCTGTGCTCTTCGTTGGTTGAGTAAATGAGTGAAGGAATGAAGAATTCTGTTTTTAAGTGAGCTTGCCCCATCAGGGAGGGGAAGCCGGAGCCATCAGGATCCCGACTTTGCTGTTAGACAAAGCCAGCGGACAGTTGGGAGTTGAGGTGGTTCAAGAGACTTGTTTTCATATAGAAAATTAGAAACAAATTCCCCTTACAGGAGGAAATCACCTACGTTTCTTACTGTAGCAGTAATGGAATATCTTTAGAAGCACCGGCCTTCTTGAGATAAAGGTGTCAGTTCAGAGCAGAGGGCAGTAAGACAAAAAATTCTGAGAAGCAATTTATTGGTGCAGAGAGGAACGGATTTGAAGAGGAGCACTAGATGTCTGAAGTTATGGCGGAGGAGGCTGTCACTTGGGAGGAAAGAGGTAACCGTCCACAGAAAGAGTAGGCAGTATTGCGACCATAGCATAAGGCATCAAGAGTGGCCTACTTTTCCTGAGGCCTCTGGCCTCACTTCCTGGGGCCCTCTCATTCACTGATAGGATTAGCTCTAACTGTGGCAAAGAGGAAGACAGCTCCGAAGAATCGTTGTTAAATCTCAGTATTGTTAGCTTGGGATTGTGGAAAAAGAGGAATGAGTTAGTGGAAAATCTACAGTCTGGTTAATTGGTGAAAGGAATGTGGTTTTCTGATGTCTAGTTATCTGGACATGAAGCTTTTACAAAGCAGATGAGGAAGGATGGGAAAATCATTGGGGAAACAGAATGCCCACAGGTCATCTTTTGGCATGTGGGGTCCCCCGCTTTAGTGCTTTGGAGTAGGCTAGACCCTTTTGGGTAATAGATCTGAAAGTTTGAAACAGTGACAGGATGTGGTTCGTGGAGGTGGAGACATCATTTTAGTCACCGGAAAACTGACAGTGGTTGGCTGGTTACTAGTTCTGCACAGCATTGCAGTCATGAATTAAAAAAAAAATGATTTCTTCATGTTTATCAGCTAGTCCAGATGGGCTTCTAAGTGTAGGTGAACTTTTCTTCCCTCCTGCCAGTTCCCAAATAACCAACATGGAGTCTTAAATGAATTGTGAATGCTCAGGGGACAGCTCAGGCTTATTACTTGCTAGCTCTTACAACTTAAGCTAACCCATTTCTATTAATCTACATTCTGCCACATGGTGTTACCTCTCTTTTATCTCGGCACTTCCTATTTCCTCTCTGTGTGTGGCTGGTGACTGCTCTGAATCTGCCCTTTTTCTTCCCAGAATGTTCTCTGCCCCCCCCCCCCAAAATCCTGCCTAACTATCGGCCAATCAGCTTTTTAGTAACAATGAGAGCAACATATCTTCACAGTGTACAGAAGGATTATTCTACAACATCTACGTGATTTGGAGAATAATGTTGAAAGTAGAGTTAGTGATTTTTGGAAAACTTTTATTAGAGTATGGATTTGTCCATTAAGAATACATTTTTTCAGTTTTTTTAAATTGATAAACATAACCTATTCACTCTCCTTGCGCAAGCAGAGGATTTTCCCCATTGATAACAGGTAAGTATTGTACCACTGAGCTACAGTCCCAGGCTTTTAAAAAGGTTTTATTTTGAGATAGTTGCTCAGGCTAGACTTACGTTTACTGCATAAATCAAGGCAGCTTCAAATTTGTGAGCCTCCTGCCTCAGGAGTAGCTGGAGTTACAGGTATGTACCGTCTTGCCTGGCTAATCTTAGGATCTAAAGGAATGGGTGTGAGCTTAATGTTGTCCCCTGGTCTTGCTGTGGATGGCAACGTGAGAATCAGTGTTGTGAAAAAAGTGTCAAAACTTTCCCCCTGCCACCTTGTTTCTATTGTTTTTTGTGGAAAAAATCTGAGCGGACCCCTCCCCATCCTGAAGTGATGGTTGGGATGTGTGCGTGGTGGGAGCTGAGGTTGTACATGTGCACCACCCACGTTTGATTATTTTTTCGTGTGAGATACTGGGCATTAAACTCAGGATCCCACATACTAGACAGGTGCT